ACTCTGGCCCTCTAACTGTCAAGGGACCAGGAAGTTTTGTAGGCGTAACGGAGGATCTGAGGGATGTGTGGAAGGCCAGAATGGCCCATCACTCGAAGATGATCCTGGATGTTCATGACAACCCCAAACATTCAGAGTGTCAGTGAGTTGTGAAGAGATGGATACAAATAGATGAAAACATGAAGAGGTACAAAATTTGTCCGGCCATAAGCCTTTTTGTTACGGTGGATCCATTTCACCTCTGGACTTCCTGTCTGAGCAGACTGTCTCCTTCAATAAGGAGTTTCATGGACACTTTAGACTCTTTGAGTACCTGGAGGGGATAATCAATAGCTTTTAAATTGCTTCAACAATCAACCCAAAATATCCTAATAGATTCAGCATGTTAAGCAATACCACTGACATCTTTTCCTAGAGAACAATCTAAGGACAGTGCATTTTTTCACCTTAAGCACAAACGTGTCTCATCCTGTTTTTCAAGCTCTCCCTCTGTTTTTCCTCCTGCTGACACTGGGCTCCTGGTTTCCGTGCCTCTCCACAGCCAGGAGTTGTGTGAGCTGACCCTCCGTGACCCCGTTCTCTCCGCCATTTCTCTAGAGAGAAATGGCAATCTGCAGCTTGAGTGAATCTCACAATGAATGGGTGGGCTGCCTCTCTCACCCTTGAGTTAATTTTGTAGTGTCACTCTGCTCTGAAGGAGTAAAGGGGGAGGATGTTTTATATGGGAGCTGAAAAGTGCTCCCTGTTGCCTGAGGGACTGAGCGGCTCGCTGAGTCCTCGTGAAAGGAAAGCAACCGCAGTCGCTAAGCTCCTTGAGATGGACCAGTGATGGAGCACTGGCCATTTACATTTCTCGATCTTTCCCTCCCTCTTTCTTGGTGACATTGGGCATCCTGAGGAGAGAGAAGTGCATGCTGGGTCAGCCTAGCCGTGGCTGTGGGCTCATGCTTTCGCTTAGCTTCTCTTCTGCTCCTTTCAGTAGGCTGGAGTTTGCAGTCCCACTTACTGCCGCTTCATAAACCCCCAATAGCTGCAAGACAATGGAAGACGGGGGTCAAGGTTAAACCACAGTTCCATCTTATTCGCTTTATCAAGAACCTGGAAAATTTTTGGGTGTATTTTCAGTGCAGTTACTCTTAAGGATTTTACCATACATCCAACTTGTTTGGTGTTTAAAGTCAGGTGGCTTCCAATCATACTTTCATACTCTTGTAGTACTCCGTTGTTAATTCATATTGACAGTGACTTATTGCTTTTTGTATTGGTTTTACCTAATGTTTTCATAGCCTGTTCAGATGTCTAATTTGCTTGGAATTGTCATTAAGCTAAAGCTTTCGTCTAGAGCTAATTGCAGTACACTAATTATTGAGAAAATCCCTTCAGAGCAACCCAGGCTAAAGTGTCTTGCCAAAGGTCATGATGGTAATAGCTCATGGATTGCCCCTCAAAGGGACTGAGCCTACACCGTTGCCCAGATATTTCATGACTTGGCTATGCCAGATGTTATGATGTAATGCATCAGTTTGCTTCAGGAATAAGAACTTCTGACCAAAGCTGTGCCACTGTTGGTACTTAACCTTCACATAAATCACATTTCTGAATCACATCACAAAGTATGTTTAAATGCACTTTAAAAGTTTGATTTTAGTTTTACTAAAGCAAAGAATTGTCTTTTTGGTAACACTTTAGTTTAGGTACCAATTCTCACTTTTAACTACATGCTTATTAGCATGCATATTACTAGCATATTGGCTTTTTATTAGTCCTAATAAAACACAAGTTAATGCCTTATTCTGCATGACCATATTGTAGATCACTTAATCCAACCCCATACCTAAACTTAACAACTTTACTGAAGTTTACTGAGGCAGCGTCATAGTTAATAGTCAGAATTGGCCCCCAAACTAAAGTGTGACCATCTTTTTAAAATTGAGGTTGACCAGGGATGGACCATAAATTGCTTTAGTCCAACTAACTTCAAACTTTTGAAGTGCAAGGTTGAGAACCAAGGGTGCTACAATTTGGAAAGGCTTGGAAAATTTGGTCATGTTAACACCTCTAAACTAAAATGAACTATACAAGTTATTGTACTACAGTTAGGCTCTGTGTTGTGTGCTTGTTATGAAGGACAGAGTTAATACAAAAGGTGCATTTAATCCTTTTAAATATTTGCATATTGCATTGTGTTATGTGTGCTTGGACAGATGAGGACTGTAGCTTCCCCACACAAAACCCACTGTAGCTTAATTGTTACTGTACATACTTAAATGTACTTACTGTGACATACCCCAACTCTATGTGCTGATTAATCAGTCAAAGTTGACCTTGGGCTAAATGTCACTAACACACAGGTGAGAAAGCAAAGACATATGAGGATGAGTAACAAACATTTATACAGGAAGTTGGGTTTATCCAAGCCAAATGGTGTGTAAAAGTGCTTTGTAGTGGTGTAATTTTACAGCTTAAAAAATCAAAATAAGGTGACACCACTTTCACCCAACATTCAGTGCACATTTAGAAGTTTAGTTTGTCAGGTTGGTTCCTGAACTGGCTATGGTTGAGTGCCATCACTCTACAGGCAGTTCCTTGTAACAGCAATTTGTCTTTCTCTGGTTTCAGTCATAATGCATAATGACAACCTTAGAAGGTAGTCAAACATGATCTGTTATTGCATCCCTTTACTATTAGCTTTAGTAAGAGTTTTGTAACAGGAGGTTATATTGTTTCGCTGAAAATGTCAAACTACCATATGAAATTCATAAATCCACATTACTACTGTGAGTGCCTCACGCTATGTGGCTTTAGTTAGCCACAACATTTTCTCATCAGTGAAAGTGGTATAAAAATGTCAGGCTGAACTGTTAAAACTGATATAATTTCATTAGTTCGTAAAAGCAGCTGCTGGTTAAACTCAACCCTGCTATAATAGCTAACCTCCCCTGCCTGCTGTTCTCTGTTTGATAGGAACTTGAGCAAGCACTACTGAAACAAGACCAAGACTTCCTCTCAGACCTCCTCTGCTCCCTGCTGAAAGGATGTTACCAGCGAAGAGACATCACGTAAGCGCATCACCATCAGTATTTCCTGTTCCTACCTTGCAGTCACATTGTAACCGAAGTAGCGACAGTTCTGTTCTTCCATATTATGACGTACATCTGAGTAAAACAGTTTAGACAGTTTAGAAAAAGTAGGACGAGTGTTATTTTAATTAAAAATTGAGATGTCAAAACGAATTACAAAACTGAAATAAAAAAGTGGGTAAAAAATAGAAAATAAAGCTCAGTCAGTACTTGTGGCATAATTGCATAATGTTGATTTTAGTGCGATTAAACGATTACTAATCGCGATTAATCGCATCCAAAATAGAACTTTTTGTTTACATAATATATGTGTGTGTACTGTGTATATTTATTATGTGTATATAAATACACACATACAGTATATATTTTGAAAATATTTACATGTATTTACATGTATATATTTTTATTCATATTTATATTATATATAAATATATTTAATATATAAACAACATAATTTTCTGAAATGTATACATGCATGTGTGTGTATTTATATATACATAATAAATATACACAGTATACACCACACATTATGTAAACAAAAACTTTTGAATGCGATTAATTGTGATTAATTGTTGGACAGCACTAGTTGATTTCCATAAAAATTTCCACTTATCCCTCGTTTTCTTTAAAAAAAAAAAAATCCAACAGCTTGGTTACATTGAGTCGCTAACAATAGAAGTGAATGGGGCCAATCTGTAAACTTAAAACAATAAAAAAAGACTTAAACCTGACTTAAACAGAATGACTATTAACATGATTTTAGTGTGATGAAATTGCTTACTGAATTCATTTCACAACCTTTTCTGTGTAAAGTTATATCTAGTTTTACAACTTTGTTGCCATGAAAACATAATGCTCTAAAATGACAAAAAATGATTTAAACATCTTTACAGCACAAATAGTATACAAATTAACATAATATAAGTGTTTTTATAAAATTTTCAATTGCACGTTTCTTTTAAATCCTCCCTAAAGAATTGCTCCATTCACTTCCATTGCAAGTGCCATGCTGGAACCTCTTTAATCTCTAAAGAAAACATGGGATGAAACAATTATTATAATTTTTTAATCATTTAGTATTATGCAACAAATGTTGTTGACTGAGCTTAACTTGTATTGAACCTGAAATATTCCTTTATTGAGAGTACTGTACTGTTTTTGGTGATTTAGCAACCCTCCTCTGTGCTCTTGAAAGATCTTGCGCATGTTATTGCCCAACCCACATCCTGTGTTTGACTCTGAATCAATCTCCATCTGCATGTGACCAGTTGCCCATGGTAGCGCTGTAGCCGTGCAGCCAGGTTACCTGCAGCAGTAGTAGGTCAAGGGGCCATGGGCCCCATCCCTGTAAAGAGTGTGAGTTATTGTGCGAGTCAGTGCTGTGATGAATGACTGGCCCCTAAAGGGAGCTCCCTTCCATAGCGGTGCCTCATCAGCAGCAAAAAGAAGTCCAGTTGATGACTGGGTAGGCAAGAATTATCCCTTTAGCATACTCAGGCAGGCCGTTAACAGGACGCAGGGTTTTATTGGATTCGACAGCAACTGGCATCCAGGGGGAGGCCGCGGGGCACTGGCCTTTCACAGAAGTGCCCTTTTCATTCTAGATGTGCTAAACGCCCCAGCAGAATGGGGGAGGGAGTGTTATGGATGAGAGAGAGAGGCAGAGAAAGATGGAATGGCAGGGGGCCTGCAGCTGTGAGAGAGATCATTCTGCTTTCTCAAGATAAGCCTATTCTTTCTCTCCTTTTTCACGCTCTACCTTCTCTCTTGTTGTCCTGAGGCTTACCCTTGCCCTATGCATTAGTACCAGGAACTGGGTTTTGGGTTGATCGAATTGACCTAACTTTTGTTTTTTTTATATAGTCTGTCATCACAAAAAGACATAGTAATAGAACTTAAATCATATGAATAATTTATTTGTGAATTATCATAACTTAAAATCGATGTGAAAGGCTGCTGCAAAGTAGATAGTTCGTGTTGCTTTATGTTCATAAGCAAATTTTGAAATATTGAATATAAATTGCTGGATGGAAACTAGGGCTGAACGATTAATTGCATTTGCGATAATATCGCGATATGAAAAAACACGATTTTTTCAATCGCAGAGACTGCAATTACACTCAGTCACGTGACACGCCAGAGTAAAGAGGTGTGTTCCACTTGAAGATCGATCGGTGTAGCCTTTGACATCAAAGTACAG